AACTATTCTATTTATATGCTTTGTGGACGCGTCCATCTCATTACATGCTATTACCAATTATTACATCATTCTACCATTCATGTTACTGTTATTACGCGACGCGCCACAATATCGCGTTCCTATCCCTATTGTTCCCACAACAATGTTTTGAAATAAAATTATACTAGGTCCAAAAAATTTATTTCTTAAAATGCGCGTTCACAAACCCACGTGGTTTGTAGCATAATGAAAACTAATAGTAAAACATGAATCACGAGCAAAAAAATTTTCGCACAATTGCAACGTAGCCTGAAGCTTGAAGCATTAAAGTGCTGGTATTCAGAGTGGCAATTGACGGTGGGCTTCGACAGCCTGACGGAGGGGAGCCTCTTCCCACACCTGTTTACTGGTAGTTGTCACGCAACCTGGAAGCTATAAGTGTTGGGATTTAGAGTGGCAAATATCAGTGGGTTTGCAGGTCCTGCACGGGAATGTTCCAAGCAATGGACTTATGAGAAACTTTTTGTTTCTTACTGAGGATTTCCTGATAACGAGTCAAAATGGTTAAGGTGTGTTCATATATTGGATAGTTTTGCAAGCCCAATATCACTGCCAAATATTATACAAATGTTATTTTTAATTTATTTTTGTCACTGCATATACTGTATAACTAATGGCTATTTTTACCTTATCTAGAATCGAATACAAATAAAGCTGGATCATAATTAATATTGAGATAATGTCTCGTATAGATAGTTTAGATAAACGAAAAACTTATAGTGTAGGCAATAGCAAAGGTGTTAACGCGATTGTTACCAATATTTTTTCGTGTGATTAAACTTTTGAACATATCCTATTTTGTAATGAAACAATGTTGAACGATCAATTAACAATCAATACCTTAAGAGAATTAAACTCTAGGCTTGCATCCGAGGATACTGAACTTGGAAAATAGAATGCTGAAATTCCAGAAATTAAAAAGAAATTTGCTAAGAATGCTGAGATTCCCGAACTTAAAAGAAATTTGCCGAAATTGAGATCAAAGATACAATAAAACAAAGCACTAGTCGCGAAGCTGAATATGAGGCTAGAATTAAGAAACTAGAGCAGAAAGATAAAGAAAAAACCAGCCTTATTACTAAACTGGAGCAGAACGATAAATATACTGTTGCCAGAGTTGTGGAATTGGAACAAAGCCAGCCTCAAAATAACTCTAATGTCAAATCAGATTATGATACCAAGGGAATCGATCAATCCTCGGCTGATACTGCCTCTACCAAAATGGAAAATTCTTAAGATACCCCTGAACAGAAAAAAATCGAGAAAAAAACTTCAAGATCAAGAGATACTTCCAGATGTGAAAGCATCCTCATATCACAAAACTCCTCAGTAAGGAGAGTAATTACCTCTTAATCACAATGAAAAGATCGGTCAGATTCTCGAAACTTCACTCTTCCAGAGAAATGAAATCTGAAAATTCCTTATAATCAAAAAGTAAAACAGGGTTTGAGACACGGGCTATCTTTTTGCAATATAGATAATAATAAGCCTAATAAAGTATTTGATGTCCAGATTTCTGATTTTCCTTTAGAAAATTTTTTAATGGGATCTAGTAAAGTTACATCACGATATATAGTTGATTTACTTAGGGTGGCAATGAAGGTTTAGCAAAAAGAAAGTTTATGTTGGTATTGTTATTATAAAGCATACAAAAATTGAGTCTGTGATGTTAATTCTGCAAATAATATTGATAAACAATTGGTAAGAACAATAGTTTATAATGAAATCAAATCACTTCTTCCTGATATTAATGATATAAACTTGCGTAAAATAACTTTCAGAGTATATACGTTCTACGAAGAAGTGAAATTAATAAAATTAGTCAAATAACTTATAGCGCAAGTGTTATTTCAAGTCTAAAGGATACTTAAATTCGTAAATGATTTTACCAAGTTATCAACAGAAATGATAAATTGTCACGTATACATAATCAAACTATTTACATGTAGCTCAAAAGATATCAAATATTGAGATAAGTGTACCTATTGAATCGTCTTATATCTCTAATTCAGAAAATATGATAAATGAAAAATACAATTCTTTATCAGAGACTAAAGTAAGTGTATCTTTAAAATAAATAGTATGTTGATCCTTAAGGACATACAAAAGAGCAGACATATTATTGGATATTAATTTTTAACAAAAGAGCAGACATATTATTGGATATTAATTTTAACAAAAAAACTTATATTATAGATTCTAGAAATCAGCTTTTATTAGTAAATTTATACTTTGAAATTCTAAATTTATAAAAAAAATAAGTTAAAGAAATTTACTACCTTAAGAATGATTTTACAAAAGCTTTTGAATTTGCAATCCCATTGTTTAAATATATTGATATTAAAGTATAAATAAGGTTATTGTCAATTTTACATTTAAAACAAATCAAAGATATTTTAAGCTTTTTGTTATAATTCCAATTGTAATAATACAAAATATCTTTAATATATTTTATCTTTTAATATATGATAATACTGAAACTGACATAATACAATTTTAAAAAAATTAAGATAAAAGTACAAATTTTAACAAATGTTTTACTAGTCTTTGACAAATGAAACTATTATTAACATCTTTTCTTGATAACAAAAATACAGATAAAATCTCAACTATAAGTGAAGTATAATCAAAATTTATCAACATTAAATTGTGCTATTGGTATGTTACACACATAATAAATAAATAGACAAATAATAAAAAATTAAGAGCAAGTATTATATAGTAGAAAAGACTATAAAGACATATAAATTTAAAATTATTAATTTTAATTGAATATCAAATAGAAACATTAAATTTTATATTTATAAAATTTTATTAAGAAGTTGAAAATTATAGGACATGCATTATAAGTTTATTTATACTTATAGCAAAAAAATTTTTTAGAGTTTTATAGAAATTTATTATAATTGTATAAAAAAATTTTGTTAATTTTGCTATAATTATAATTTTATAAAATTTTGAAATTACTTGTGAATATTATTATAATAAAAAAAATTAAAATCTTTTTGTTAAATTAGTATATTCAATAGTAATTAGAGTTCCTAACAGCACTATTTCAGTATCAAATCAATACTGAATTTATTATAAGTTTAATATAATGAATCATAATTCATATATTAAATTTATTATAAATTGATATCATTTTAATATTAGTTTGAAATCCTAGCATAAACTACTATAATTTCAAAAGGCTTGAAAAGTTCTTAAATACAACTATAAGTATAATTATAATAAATCATAATTTAATTGGCTTACTCAGATTATTATAAAGCAGTTGGTTTTTGATTTTAAAATTAAAATAGATTATTAATAATAATTAAGTTTTTTAATATGGTAGGAGAACTTTAAAAAAGATTAAGACCAGTTAGCAACCATTGAGATCAAATTTAATATAGATAAAAGTTACTATACCAATGTAAATAACTAGACATGTTCTTATTCATCTAATTATTATTTTATTTATAAACATCTTGTAGTAAAAAAAATGACACCAATTTTTACCTATATTTGCAGAAACAATGTTATTCCTTTCTTGCCTTTGGAAAAAAAAATACCAACAATTAATTTAGTTAATAATTTCTAGTTTATATATGGAATGATTACGAAAGATGAAAAAAATAAGCCTTTTAATAAAACCTTACAAAATTTATTGATGACAATGGAGGATAATATTATAAAGAGAAAGCAAGAACAGCTTGTTAGATACAAAAGGTAATGGATTTTTAATTAATATTATATGAATGAAAGATAGATGGTAAAGATACTTTCGATAACTTAATGAAGCCAATGTTAAGAGAAATTAATGTATGACAAGAAGTACTACAAGCTTGTAACCAACAGAAAGCCTGGAGATCCGATGGAAAGCTCACATTTCAATTATGTTAATCGGTATATTGATTTATAAATACCTTTTAATTTTTTTTACTCAAATAAAAAACTCTTGAAAGGAACTTTATGTACTTCAATAATTTTTATCTAATAAAGTTACGTAATATTATATGATAATCGTTCTTTCGATCTTATACTGACTAGTAACCTCGTTTTGCCGTAGCTAGTGTACTATTGTTCGAGTTCGTGATGTGATTACAATACATTTAAATCATTCTTATTAAGTGATGTTTATATAATTTAACTATAAATATTTATTTAATAAATTTAACAATACAAAAATAAAGTGTTAGAGTATCACAATAAGACTGTGGCTTAAGCTTGATCGTTTCCGTTAAACTTTCGAGTCTTAAGTGGCACCTCTTTGCTTTAAAAGGCGTATATTCATTGAATCCAAACCTTTCACATTTTTAATATATGCTTTATAAATCCATAACATATTTTGACGTGCAGTCCAATGCAAAGCGACTTGCGACGTTTGATCATCTATTCTTTTTACATGCCACAAACGAATAGCTTTATCATCACCACTCGCTAATAAAAGGTCACCCGCTTTTGTCTTCCAATCAAGACTATTAACTTTTCCGGGAAAGTATATAATTGCTACGCAGTTACCAGATACCGTAGACCACAGCCGCACCGTCTTGTCATCGCTGCACGATGCCAGTTGGGTGCCATCAGGTGAGAAGGACACACTTCTAATATAATCAGTATGTCCTTCTAGAATGCGTGGATTCGAATCTAAATTTTTCATCGACCACAGACGCACCGTCATGTCGTAGCTGCATGATGCCAGTTGGGTGCCATCAGGTGAGAATGTCACACTATTAACGCGATCGGAAGAGCGTCGTGGAGGGAAAGAGTGTAGATCT